TTTCTGAAATTGTGTTTCTAAATTGTCTATAACTGTTTGGTAGTGAGACCCAACATCAGCATATTTAGTTTTTTTCCTCAATAAACTATATCCTGTAAATGGCCACTGAAAGTTCTCAGCAGGACCCATCTGATGAATTTAATGACCTCTCTAGAGTTTTTATGCCAGTTTATGGCCACCTGACCTTGTTTTTAGTAGAAGTGGTGCTGCAGGTTCGGGTCTTACTTTCATTCTTCTTATGGGTTGAGATTAATAACTAAGAGTTTTATAAGCTGCAGTTTGATTGGTTTGAAAACTACAAATTACAAACTGATGTTAGAATAAGAGAAATGGATCGTGGAATCTGGATCAGTGTTTTAAACATCAACCAGCGCTAAGAATGCTGCTGTAAAAGGTTAAACATTTATGAGTCCACTTTCTTCTTGCAATAAAAGTACTATAAGATCCTTTTTGTTCACTGAAGTTTATAGTGGCCCAACCCTTTAGGCAAAACAATAGTGAAAGAGCAGATTAAAGTTCAAACCACTTAAACAGGCACGACAGAGAAACCCACACTGACACTTGGAGGGAAAATGGCTCAGAGAGGAGATCAACTGGGGAAAATCTCCTGTTCAATCTGTTTGGATCTACTGAAGGATCCGGTCACCATTCCCTGCGGGCACAGCTTTTGCATGAAGTGTATAAATGTCTGCTGGGATGGAGAAGAGAAGAAGAGAATCTACAGCTGCCCCGTCTGCAGGAAAGAGTTCATGTCCAGGCCTGTCCTGGAGAAAAACGTAACACTTTCTGCGTTAGTAGAAGACATGAAGAAGGCTGGATTCCAAGCAGATCCTGCTGATCCCTGCTATGCTGGACCTGAAGACGTGGCCTGCGATGTCTGCACTGGGAGGAAGCGGAAAGCTCTCAAATCCTGTCTGGTCTGTTTAGTTAGTTATTGTGAGAAACATCTTCAGCCTCATTATGAGTTTCCTGTTTTTGAAAAACACAAGCTGGTGGAGCCTTCCAAGAAGCTGAGGGAGAACATCTGCTCCCGTCACAACGAGGTGATGAAGATCTACTGCCGTACTGATCGGCAGTGCATCTGTTATCTCTGCAGTCTGGATGAACATCAAGGCCACGACACAGTCTCAGCTGCAGCAGAAAGGACTGAGAGGCAGGAGGAGCTGCAAGTAAAGCGACAGCAAATCCAGCAGAAAATCCAGGACCAGGAGAAAGATCTGAAGCTGCTTCAACAGGAGGTGGAGGCCATCAACCACTCTGCTGATAAAACAAGGGAGGACAGTGAGGAGATCTTCACTGAGCTTATCCGAAGCTCTGATGTGAAGCAGTGGATCAGATCGGAGCAGGAAGCTGAAGTGAGTCGAGTCAAAGAGCTTCAGGAGAAGCTGGAGCAGGAGATCAGTGCGCTGAAGAAGAAAGACGCTGAGCTGCAGCAGCTCTCAAACATGGAGGATCTCAACCAGTTTCTCTACAACTACCCCCCACTGCCAGACCTCACCGAGTCTGAAGACTCATCCAGCATCAACATCCGTCCTCCTTATTTCACATATGTGAGATCGGCTGTGTCAGAGCTCAGAGACGTGCTACAGGACATACTGAAATATTCCTGGACAAACGTCTCACCGACGGTCTCTGAGGTGCATGTGTTAGAGTCAGAAAAAGAGCCGGAACTGAAGAGCAGAGCTGGATTCCTAAATCATTTCCAGCAGATAACACTGGATCCAAACACAGCAAACAGAAATCTGCTGGTATCCGAGGGGAACAGAAAAGTGACATTAATGAAACAACAACTGTTTTATCCGGATCATCCAGAGAGATTCAAGAATTACAAGCAGGTCCTGAGTAGACAGAGTCTGACTGGACGTTGTTACTGGGAGGTGGAGAGGAGTGAGAGAGGAGCAGTTCATGTCGCCGTTTCATACAAGGACCCAAGGAAAGCAAGAGGGTTTGGGTTCAATAACAGATCCTGGTCATTGCTGTGTCACACCAAAAGTTACATGTTTTATCACAACAACATTCACACTCCGGTATCGGGTCCAATCTCCTCCAGGATAGGAGTGTACCTGGATCACATAGCAGGTGTTTTGTCCTTCTACAGCATCTCTGAAACCATGACCACGTTCACTCAGCCTCTACACGCCGGGATATGGATCCTAAACTATGGATCCTCTGCTGAGTTCATTCAGCTAAAATAGTCAGAACTGCTACTTTCCTTGATGGGTCCTCAGCTGGTCCTATACAATTCATTTTTAAACATCAATCTTTGTACTAAAATAGTCTTTCTTTCATGATTTGTGGACATTAGGATCTAAAGAGAAGCGTCATCTCCTGGTCAGACGCTGTAATTCAGTTAAAGCGTGGAGTCAGAGTAAAGAATAAGCAAGAGGAGGTCACTCCAGTGGCTGGAAGTTGAAGGGGTTTTGTTGGGTTGTTGGTTCCAGTTTCTTTGGTCTCCATCTCTGCTGATAAGAGCTCATTGTTGTGTCGTTTCTTCACTACTCAGTGATGAGCCGTCTCTAAGGAGCTACTTTATCATATTGTTTTATTAAAGTTTATTTTCACTGCTATCCTTCCTGTTTATGTTCAACCATGGAGGCTGCGACTGATCATGAGAATCTTTTTCATAATAACTAATTATATTTCCATTTAGTGCTTTGCAGAGCAAATGTTTGAATCCATGACCAGAGGAGCTGCTGGTAATTGTAATTCCATGTTTGCAGAAAAGTGATCACATCCTGAAAATGTTATATTCTATTTAACAATGTTTTTCCTTTGACTGATAATGGTAAACTGGGGTATCATTCATTTAAGGTTTTAATACAGTTGTTTTACACGTTTTTTTCTATCTTTATTTGC